TGAGTTCCCCCTTAAACTTTTGTCTAACTTACTCATTCCACCGGCATTCCGCCATATCCATATGTATCCAAAGCATACTGCAATATATATCTTAAAAATAGCCTTTGTAATACCTTGATACTCTTTAGCTGAAGTTATCTGAAAATACATTGATATAGTTCTTTTTTTAAAACTTGTCTTAAATTTGTCAAGTTGAAGTCTTTGTAATTCAATTTCACCTACACCAACAAAATTGTCACTTTCAAAAGTTTCATGAAATTCTAGTAAAAGTAAAAACATGGGATATTCATCTACCATGGGTATCATGAGTATTATTATTTGTTTTTCCTTAACAGGATAAGAAATGCTCTCTTCCCAAATACAAGAACTTTCACAAAAGCGTTGAGAACCAAAAATAAAGCAAAAAAGATGAATAATCTTCCTGATCTGTCACGCAATGATGACTGATGAGGTGTCTATATGAGAGATGGAGAGGAGCTTAAGATAAAGGAAGGTATTACGATCCCAATTAAGACATAACGTAAATTCCGTCTATTTTGAAGGAGACAAGAGACTCCGACAAAAATCATTTTAGGTAAAATTCTTCAATTCATATCCCCAAAATGATAATTTGGTTTTAAGTAAAATTAAAATTCTTCAATTCAAATCCTCAAAATGATAATTTGGTTTTAAGTAAAATTCTTCAATTCATATCCTCAAAATGATACTTACAATGACTCCCAAATTACCATAACTCTCTGAACTAACTAACCCCCTACAAATAAGGCATTAAACACTAAACTCAGCCCTGTACTAACACAAGCACGAGTTCGGCTTCAGCTAGGGCAAAGCCCGTTCAAGCAGCCTTTACTGCCTTGCACTGAGAATATCTCCTTACTTATGTGCTTTATTTTATAGGGAAATATTCCCAATGCAAGGTTGGGAAAGGCTGTTAGAATGGTGTGGGCACAAGTTTGCCCTGATGGAAGCCGATCTCCACAAGCACTATAGACGAGTTTCACATACAATTCCAGAAAATCAAATTATTCCCTACACATCACTAACAACGTGTCCCACTTAATTTGTAGGGGTTATAGTTGATAAAAGCAACTTTTGGGCCCTAATATCAATAAAAATAATCCTTTTAATATAATTTCTAAAATAGACTAATTTTTTTTTTAAATCTATCAAATAAGGGCAAAAATGCTGTTCATCTTCTTACAACACTGCCAAAGAAGCTGCTATGGTTTATAACCAAGCGGCCAAGAGGATCATGAGGTAACAAAGCAAAGCTCAACTTCTTTGAAATGAAGCCGTATCGGTTCCATCACCATAACCACCACCAGCCAAGAGATGATGCTTCTTCGTCCCCAACTCAACCTAGAAGAATTTTTCGGCCACAGGAGGACAATCGGATACTTCCACGACCATGTCCTTTCCTTTCAAAGAGGAAATATTCTACAATCAACACACCAGTAGTGAAGTCGAACTGAAAGAGCAAATCTTTGGCTTGGAATCGTTCTTGGAGCTTGAGCCTGAAACAGCGGAGCTGGTGGGGAGTGTGGAACTGGAAGCCACACATGGACACCCTTGTGTTGGTCGCGTATCTTAGAAGCACATTTCCCCTACGGCCTCTGTCGAATACCCTTGTAAATGTTCTTTCAAGCTCGGGTTTCCTTCTTTTAGCTCTTCCCTTCTCTATTCTAACTGTGTTCCTCTTTTTAGTACTCTTGTTATTACCATCCGTCCCTACACAACATTAAACGACGTGAGGATTTTTTCAATTTTTGGTGTTTAAAAACTTTTAAACCAACTAAATTGCCAATTCTTGTATATGGTGTTTCATGTGTTCTAATTGTTTCAAAAGAAGAACTCATAGCAGCTCTGCTCCAAACTCAGATGCAAAGAAGAAGAAGAAGAAGAAGAAGAAAAAGGAAGAGGAGGAGGAGGAAAGAGAAAGATAGAGACTAGAGGTGGGGAGATTTGTTCGGTGGTCTGAAGGAGGAAGGAGATGAATAGTATTTCTACCCTTTTTTGATATTTTTTAAAAAAAGTTGCCCTATTCTATAAATTATGTTAAAAATATGATTTTTATTGATAATAGGACCCAAAAGTTGCCCTTATCGCTATAATCCCTAATTTGTACTACTTCTACTCACCCAATTTTACTTACCCATTCCACCTTCAAATCTTATCCCATTATTCTCAAAGGCACTAATTAATACCTTGACACATTGACTCCCTTTAATAGACATGTGAATTGAGAGCTCTCATTGGGGTAAGGGAGAAAGGAGAAGCCATTTGACGTGGCCTCAACTACTTTAGTATATACTAGTAGGGACTCATGTGTTGTATGAGCTTTGTAAGTGAAAGCTAAACAATAGAAATACATATGAGTATATAATTATTTTATATTTTAACTTTTTAATAACCAATCTGGTCCAATTCGATTCGAGTTGGTCAGTTTCCTAGCATTTTTTATCGGTTTTGGTTCAACAATTTTCCAATCCAACCAAATTAGGTCAATTTTAGTTTGACCAAAATCGAACAAAACTGAACCAATCCGACCATAGATATATATTAATGTTTTATATTTTAAGTATAATTTTTTGATACAAGAAAGTGGGAGATTTCCCATATCTCTTAGTCTAAAATATTTTATATCATAAAGTTATTTTTTTTAATAATACCATTGCAATTTACTAAATTTAAATTTAATTTTTAAGTTTAATTCTTTTGGACAAACAAACCAACCCAAAAATAGACCCAAACTGGTACAACCCGGGTTTGAGGGTTTTCACTAATGGTTAGTTAGTTTGAGGTCAAAAACTCCCAACCTGACCAGGTTGATTTGGTTGGTGAAATAGCATGCAACCAAACTGAACCAATCCTTGAACTCTCCTAATTTTAGCTAAATTAATAGTCTAATCTCTAATAAATAACAATAGTTTAACCTCCAATAATTATTGAAATTTTATAGAAAAATACACAATTATTGAAAAGAAATTTATAATGAAAATACAATAGATATCTAATAAAAATATAATAATTACAAAAATACAATAAATACTGAAAATATATTAAATTAGTCAATAAATAGTGTAATATCAAATAATAGTTTAATCTCTAATAAATTTTAATCAATAAATTATACAAAATACATAATTAATAAAAATAAATTTATAACAAAAATACAATAAATTAAATTTCAAAAGTTAAACAATAGTTGTTTAATCTCTAATAATTATTGACAATTTTTTGTTAAATAACAAAACCAAAATATATTTACAAATAATTATTTAAAATACAATAAATATTATTTTATTATATATAAATATATAATGAATATACACTATTATTGTAAAATCATTACTAATAAATATTAATTTTTTTGAAAGTTATTTTCAGTAATTATTAAATGATATAAGTGAAATTAGTTATTTACAATATTATTTAGTTATCTATTAGTCAATAAATAGTATAATCTCAAATAATAGTTTTATCTCTAATAAATATTAATTAATAAATTATAAAGAATATGTAATTACTAAAAATAAATTTATAACAAAATGTGGGGGAGAGGATAAATAAGAATTAGAGATAGCTTAGGAGAATCCCTCTCCTAAATTAGAGATGATTAACTTAAGAGATAAATAGGAGTTAGAGATAATTTAGGAAATAAATAGGAATTAGAGACAATTTAGGAGAAATTGGGAGAAGTGGTGCCACTTCACTAAACATTAGAAAAGCAAATCCCTCTTTATTTATGGTTGTTAGAAATAATTAAACCAATGTTGTTTCTTTATTGATTTAATGGGTCATTATGTGAAATTAAAAAAATTCAAAATTCAAAAGAGTTTGGAGTAAGGAGAGACATGGTAACGTGGATCGTTTTGATATATATATATATATATATATATATATATATATATATATATATATATATATGCATTAATTTAATTGCTTTCCTGTTTGAATGCCACAAAAAGATGGCAACCCTCACAATTTGCCTGAAGACCCATTATATTAGATAAGCAAACTAGAAAATTGCTTCAGGTAAATCATACATGAACAACATGAATTTGACGCCCATTCTAAAGTTCATAGGACTAATCTGAAAAAGAAATGGATGGATGCACGTATGCCTCTGTTGGCTTGATATCTTTTTTCTTTGTATGATGGAATTTCAAAGCAGCAATTGAATTATTCTATTCCTACGAATAAAGGAAAACTTTTGCTTTTTTGACATTTGTGAAAAACAAGATAGATAAAAGAAAGATCATATAGGGCTACCAGTTACAGATAAGCCTTCACATGGACAAAGCTCTTATATTACTAAGACAACGGAGCAAAGAAATTGTTTAGTTAGCCTAAAGCCCTAAACAATAGCAAAATTGAAACCCAACCAAATATACTAGCACTAAATTGTACTTTGACATTGTTGAGAGAGTTGAGCATTCTATGTATGCATCTCTGTTTCTCCATAAAGAACCAGTAAGGGCATATAAGCTTGAAAAAATGCATTTTGCTTAAATTTAGAGAAGATTCAGATCAATAGAGAAGCAAGAAGAGAATAAAATAGGGTTTGGGATTAAGAGAATCGTGACTCTCCCAACCCCCAAATATGTTTTATTAGGTCTAATTGTAATTAAATGGGTAGTTACAAGAAGAGTCCGGCTGCTCCTCAGAGCACTACTCACACCGACCTCACAGAATGTATCGGCCACACATCAGGAACATCTCCCATACTTGCATGATGGGATGTAGCTGTGAGGTCAGTGTGAGGAGTGCTCTGTGAGGAGCAGATCCCAATTCTTACAAGAATGCCCTTATGGCAGTAGCTATAATAAACAAATTAATGGATATAGGGCCCAATACCTAAGGCCTATTGTATAATAAAAGAAAGGTAGGAGCCCGGGCTCGGCCTATTACTTCAACAAAACATTTACTACTTACAATTGTAAGTATGCCAAATTTAGGCTAAACCAATAAAAAAGAAAGATTTATTTCCCACATGCATCTACATCAACAACTGAACTTCCCTTTGCTTTCTGAAAACTGTAATAATAACAATTTAAAAGTAACAAAAACAATAGAAGGAATACTCTAAAAGTTTAGACATTGGCCTATTTAATGGGAAAGCTTGTGGCCTAGGACGCAACTTAATTGTAAGATGTTTCTTTTTTTTTGATAAATATTGTAAGATGTTTTTTTTTAACCATCAAACTCTTACAAGCTTCAAATGAGTTTTTCCCCCTCCAATTGATCATATCCATACTAAAGGAAAATGAATTTGATCTTTGAATAACCAGAGTACCTACTATCACAATCATCAAAATCCTCACGGCTTCACGTTTAACATTCCCCCTTGTAAACTATAATCTCTCTAAAGGATTGTCCAATAGAGCCCCAACTGCTATGACAATGTTCAAAAACCTCAACTTATGACATCGTACTACAAGGGATATTGTTCTTGAATCTTCATACCAAGAGGTGGTATGTTCCAAACCATTTAACTGACATAATCTTTTTGCAAAGCTGAGATGTTATTCCAAGAGATGTGTGTGATGGTACAACTACCATATGGCATATGCAATTGTAGATGAATTGCTGATAGTCTCAACCAACCACAAGAACCAAGCTCTGCCTGACTGCTGGCACTGAGCAAATCAATGATCCAAATATACCAGTGAGGGCATAGGTGATGGCGCAGAATGGGAGAGCCTCAGGCTCCTTTACTGATAAGGCTGCTGTCCCCAATCCATGAGAACTGAAACAACAACATAATAACCAACTTGTAAGGAGTGTGGATAATTTTGCACCTTGAATTTATTCTACCATTTTCTTAAAAAAATGCTGGGTGAATTGGTTGAACCCAGAAAGTGAGCAGTCAAATAGTCCAGTAAAAAGCTTGAACCTTCCAGCTATCGACGTTTGAGTTGAAAGCATGGTTCAAAGTATTGATGCGAACCATACCTTATCATACGATATATATTGGTTTTCAGGGTTACTGATACATTAAATAATGAGTTAGAGCCTTTTAATGGATTTAAACATTAATACCTATCCTATCAGATCCATTTGTAAAGTAATCAAACTGTCTAAAAGAAAGAGTATTAAGCTGTTGACACACTTAAGACTTGAAATTTCAATACAGAGCATGCCAATACTTTGAGCCATGGTTGAAACAACTCAACCTAACCAGCCCATCAAAAGTGAAGACCAAAAGGGGATGGTATGGTGGACCTGAGGCATATCCCATACTATACGCCTATGTCATACCATCTCAACATTGGTACTTGTAGCTTAAGATGCAGGATTTGGATATCACAATGACAAGGTGTCTGAACTGAAACACGAGGATGTGATAACATTTTTTGCTTAAATCTTAAGGCTCAAAATTCTGCAGTTTGCAGGATCCAGAGAATTCAAACTCCAACATTATGTTTTTGAGTAGAAGTAGATTTACTATTTACAAAGAAAAAAGAGGTGCATACCTACCTAGAGGCAGTTGCTATTCCTCGAACAATAGGATCATTCAAGCGAAGTTTATTAAGCATTGCTTGTACAAAGTTTGCTCCAATCAGACCCGTAAGTACAACCACAGCAGCTGTTAGAGATGCATTGGCACCTATAATCAATAAGGGAAGCAAAATTTTGTTAAAGCCTAATCACAGAAAAGAAGGCTTTTTAAGTGGTAATACTTGTTGTCTGCCTTTACACATCTTACTTTTTATTTGGCTTATTACTAGAAGCAGTGCTTCCATGAAACAAATGGGGAAGGGATGAGAATGCTCAGATGGATGAAAATTATGCTGAGAAGAGTTAAATTTTAATTTTTATTAGTTAATATTGGGAAAAGATAGTATGGTCTTTTTACTGATATTAGTAGGGGTATTATTGCAGTCTTGTGTTTTCCCATTATGTATCATATAAGAAGGGCCTACAGGCCTAAGAAAGTATTTGATTCTTTCCCACTTGTTTCTCTCTTATTCTCTCTGCATTTTCTTTTCCTTCATTATTTCTCTCTCTCTCTCATTGTTCTTCAAGGAACTTTAATTGCAACTTAGTATCACAGTGACTAACTTCTTCTTCTTCTTCTTCTTCTTTTCTAGTCAAGGAACACAGAAGTATCGTTTGATGCCATTGGCCAAGGAAAGGACATTAGCAGGTGATTGGTCATCTGAACTAACTTGAAGAAGGTGATCTCTATGGCCCTCGACTTAAAAGTCATGATTACTGGAAACCAATATCTCTCCACAATGCTAGATTGTCTACCTATAGATGCTGAGTATCATAGTTTGCTTTACCTTCAAAAAAGGATACAACGCTGAGTGCTAATGCCACAGTTATACATCTGGGTAAAATAGAAATAGTCAGAGCAGGTTCCAACCCAATAAGGCGCCCTACGAGAGCAGTTGAATACAATGAAAATATTGTTGATATGACCACCGATGAGAAAATCTCTGAAGCATGCTTCTTGACAAGCTGCAAAAAAATGTACAACATATATAATTTCCAACAGGCAATAAAAAAGCCATTGTGGTTAACCAATGTTGATCCCAGATATCTAGGGTCTTGGGAAGGGTAGATTGGGTATGGTCCTAACCTTTGGCATTTTTTTTTTCACTCAAAGTGGTCTCTCTTGGATCAGATTTGAACCCATGTTCTCATGCATACCATCCTGTGATTTTACCATTACACCAAGCTGGTTGATGTGTGCATACATTGGAAGTGGATCCACAATAAAATGAGCCCCACCTTGAATATCTTTCGTATTTCTAGGCTAGCTTGCATATCTTCCGTTTCTCAAAATGGTATTATAAAAAGCATTATTATGATAAAGTAATTTGGTGGATTTTGTATCATGAAACCTGGATACCTAAATAAAGGTGCCATATTGTGGAAGATGCTTCAATTTTTAAATTCCATATCTGACATCCTGTACAGCCATGCCCTTGCATTCTGGGTGGCAGATTTTGGACAAAGGGGTTCCAGTCTTCCAGAGAATGGTGGTTCTTTGCATGCATGCATTCTACATACAATCATGTTATTGGCAATAGTGTCTCTGGACTAAAACACCATGCAACAAAGTTTACTTGGGAATTAAGAACTAACCACAAAACATACAAAATGAAGCAGCCCTGTTCTGTTTGGATTTAAAATCCACAAAATGAAAAGATTAGCTTGTTACCTTTCTTTGCTTGAACATTGAAAATGCAAAAGAAATGATTACAGATCCCAAAAATCCCATTAGGATGTCACCAGCTCCAGGATTATAAGATAGCTTTGTGAGGTAGTATCCTGCATAAAACATTCTACAAATGCATCTATATACAGTGGGTAGAAATATAAAAAGCTCAAAAGATATTTACAGAAAATGTTTGAAGCCAATCAATGGTTATAAAAAGAAAATTCTTAACATGTGTACTGCAAATGTTTCTCAATGAAAATCATCTATATTTGACACCATTTCAACAAACATGTTGTTAGAGACCAGAACAGAGGAAGCAAGCCCATAATACAAATGGTATACTCTAGGCGAAGAAAGAAAAGCTAGGTCAGCAAAAGCCAACTAGAAAACTAACTGACAGCTAGCAATTCAAATGAGAACAGTTCGAGCTGTTAAGAATTGAACAGTCTTGCAATAGTGTGATTCTTGATTCTTGATGTACTATAAAAAGAGAACGAAAGGAATAAAGAGACAAGTTCATTCCTTCCAATTCTCTCTCTCTCTCTCTCTCTCTCTCTCTCTCTCTCTCTATCTCACCCTTCCTTTTCTCTATCTTCCTCTCTCTTTCTCTCTTATTTCTGTCTCAAGGAGATTGCACTCTCAAAGAGGTGCCTGTGTTGGATGGAGTCCAACAATTTGGTATCAGAGCTGTTGGAAGAAGGAAAAATGCTGAGCACTCGTTCAAATACAATGGAAGATAGGATCAATCGAATGGAAATCAACCTACGTAAAGTCTCAGGCGATATTTAAGACTTGAAGGAAACGATGGCCATGGTGGTAGTGCAGCTGGACAAGGAGACAACAGGGAGCAACCGTGAAGGAGAACCATAAGTCATCGGCAGAGAACAGGGGCACAGTAGTGGCAGCAATGGCAAGGGAAGAACCTATGTTGCATGACTGTACTTGCCAACATTCACCAGCAGCAATCCTCTGAGCTGGAATTTTAGGGCAAAAGGGTATTCTGAATTCCACAAAAACCCTGGACACCAACGAGTTTTGGTTGCTTCCTTCCACATGGAAGGAGAAGCTAATAGGATGGTACCAATGGTTCAAATGAACCCACCCTCAGACTTCTTGGGCTGATTTTACAGAAGCTTTATGCCTTCATTTTGGTCCTTCTGGATTCGAGGATTTCAATGAATCCTTGTCCAAGCTTCGACAGATAGGCTCCGTAAGAGATTATTAACAAGAGTTTGAGAAGTTGGCCACTCGAGTTTAGGATTGGCTGGAGAAGGCCCTTTTGTGCTGTTTTATCAGTGGACTAAAGGAAGAAATCAAAGTAGAAGTTAAGGCTATGCAGCGGCTGCTGTTGGAATAGCTAGACTACAAGAACGATTAAACTGCCTGAGAAGGCTTGGCAGAGTATATAGGGGTGAACAAGTCCAATGATGGTTCAAACCAACCGATGCAAGGAATGAAGTAATTCTAGGCCCATTCTAGGGCTCATTAGTTAAAGATCCACCCAAATTACTGGGAGCTCAACTGGGTGCCCAAGAAAAGATGAATTGCCCTTATAATCAGGTTATAGTGCCCTACAATCCACTAAGCACCCAAGAAAGGACGGCTTACCCTCATAACCAGACCACAACACCCTACAAGAAATTGGCATGGGCTGAGATGCAAGCCTGTCTCGAGTGTGGTTTTATGCTACAATTGTGATGAGAAGATCGACCCCAGACATCAATATAAGGTTCAATGTGCTTACATGTTGCAAGTTGACAAACCAGAGACTGATCATTTGAGAGCTGAAATACCTGAGACAATCAAATGGGAAGATTTGATGAGCATGGCGGGCCCAGAAATTTACCCACAAGCCTCAAGTGGCTAAGACTCACCCCAAACAATGAGTGGAGCGGAGGGTCTGTTAAAGGGCCGAAGGATATCAGTGCTAATTGACAGTGGTAGCATACTCTCAATTTTATCACTATGGACCTAACTAGACAGCTTGGGCAACAACCACAATATATTCCTCCTTTCGATGTTCATGTTGCAAATGGGGGCAGAATTAGGTGTGAAAGAATTTGCAAGACCGTGCCTATCCAGGTACAACACTACATCTTGCAAGCTGATTTCCACCCACTTAAGTTCACAGGTGTAGATGTGGTACTAGCCTACTAGGCATCTAGTGGCTTAGAGAGTTGGGGCTTGTTCTTTGTGAATGGAAAAGAATGACCATGGATTTCCAGATGGGTGGGGAACAATTCCACATCCAAGGAGAAAGACCAGCCCAACCAAGAGCAGAAAGCCCGAGGACCATTATGAAGTACTGCAAATAATCTCAACCTCGTGTGTTGTGGCAAATAGGACTGGAACCAACAGGCCCTTTACTCAGAAACCCCACAAAAAACCACATCCCAGAAGGAGGCATGAAGCAACTGCAATGGATTTTATCTGAGTTCAGTGACCACAGCAATTGCCACCTCACTGTAGCCGGGATCATCATATCATATTGTATAAGGTGCTTCACCGACCAACGTGAGACCACACAGGTATACCCATGCTTAGAAAGAGATTGATTCATTTTCATCACCAGTGCCCTTAGTAAAAAAGAAAGATGACACTTTGGCATTTTTACATTGACTACAGAGCACTAAATAAAATCACAATAAAAGGTAGGTTTCCAATCCCACTCATTGAGTTATTGGATGAACTGCAATCACCCACAATATTTTCTAAACTGGATTTAAGGTCTGGATGCCACCAAGTGAGAGTGCACACAATGGACATCCACAAGACTGCCTTCCACACTCATGACGACCTCTACAAATTTCTGGTCATGTCGTTTGGGTTAACTAATGTGCCATCAACGTTTCAAGTGTTAATGAATGAGGTATTCCGCCCCTTCTTGCATCAGTTTATTCTCGTTTTTTGTGACATTTTTAGATTGGCCTCATATGGAGCACCTTGTTCTTACATTATCTACATTATGACATCATCAATTATATGCCAAAGCCTCCAAGTGTGATTTCGGCAAAATCTCAAATTCAATACTTAGGTCATGTAGTCACCAAAGGATTAGTCATGGCTGACCCTTCTAAGGTGGATTGCATTCAATCCTAGCTAGAACCCACTTCAGTCAAAAGTTTAAGAGGGTTCCTAGGCCTAACAGGATATTACAAGCAGTTTATTAAGGGATATGGGTCCATAGCACCACTGACCCAACTACTTTGTAAGGATTCATTTGCATGGTCAGATACAGCCCAATGAGCCTTTAAACAGTTGAAGGCAGCAGTATCTAGCCCACCTACATTAGCACTCCCAGATTTTTCCAAGACTATTGTCCTAGAGTGCGATGCTTCAGGAAAAGGATTAGGGGCTGTTCTTATGCAAGAAGGTCAGCCCATAGTGTATTTCAGCAAAACTCTCTGGTGTGGTTTTATCCAAATCCACATATGGAAGGGAACTCATGGCAATAGTAATGGCTATACAAAGATGGAGAGCCTATTCATTGGAACAACGTATCCACACCGATGACCAACTAAAGTGGGATTACAAGCTTATGGGCTATAGTTATGCTATTGAATACAAGCTAGGATCAGCCAATAAAGTAGCAGATGCACTATCTAGAGTGCATGGACTTCAACAAATCAGAGTCTCAAAACCAAATATACCCCTTGCTACAGCTACTAAAGGAAAAGGAAGAAGCTCAGTGTGACACAACACTACAGACAGTGCATGCACAGTTGACCCAAGATCCCATGAATTACTGGGCATGAATTGAAAGGTCTAGACCTTGTTTACAAAGGACGACTGGTTATCTCCTCCACTTCAGCTCATCTATAACAACTCTTGCAATCGTTCCATGATTCCCCACAAGGTGGACATTCAAAAATTCTGAGGACAACTCCACATTGGGTTTTCTCTAGTGAAACATAGTCCAAAACATTGGGTTTATTGGCTTCCATGGGCTGAATACTGGTACAACTCCACATTCCACATATCAGCAAGCATGACACTCTTCAAGGCTTTATATGGACGTGACCCCCCATCCATACTACCATATGAAAAATGGTCCTCCCAAGTTGCAACAATTGATGAGCAGCTGACAGACCGAGACAACATCCTGAAGGCACTAAAGCTCAACCTCAAGCAAGCACAAACCCAAATGAAAGCCCATTGTGACATCAAACATAGACATGTTGAATACAAAGTCAATGATTGGGTATATCTTAAACAACAACCCTATTGCCAGACCTCAGTCACATGCAAGGCTTGGAACAAGCTCTCAGCCAAATATTATGGCCCATTTGAGATCCTGGAGCGCATTGGGCCTGTACGATATCAATTGGACCTGCCATCCGAGTCCACTATACATCCAGTCTTCCATGTATCCAGACTCAAGCCATGCCTTCAGCCCCATATCACGGAAATACCGTCCATGCTAAACTTTGATGACAATGGAAAGTTACAATTGCAACCCCAAATGATCATGAACTACAGGTGGATTCAAACGAGGAAGCGCCTCAGCAAGGAAGCTCTTGTCCAGTGAGAGGGGTTACTGAAGGAAGATGCAACCTGGAAACCATGCTCCATGCTGCAGTAGCAATTTCCACATCTTGCCCTCAAAGACGAGAGTGCTCTTGGGGAGGAGGGAAATGTTGAGACCAGAACAAAGGAAGCAAGCCTATAGGTGAAGAAAGAAAAGCCAGGTCAGCAAAAGCCAACTGACAGCTAGCAACTCAAATGAGAAAAATTAGAGCTGTTGAGAATTGTAACAGACTTGCAGTAGTGTGATTCTTGATTCTTGATGTACTTCTAAAAAAAGAGAGAATGAAAGGAATAAAGAGGCAAGTTCATACCTTCCAATTCTCTCTCTCTCTCTCTCTCTCTCTCTCTCTCTCTCTTATTTCCATCTCAAGGAGATTGCACTCTCAAAGAGGTGCTTGTGTTGGACAGAGTCCAACACTTGTAGATTATATACAAACATGCAATGCAATCTTTATTAGGGGCAGACATCCACTAGACCAGGCTTTTGGGTTAGGTGGTTGGACCTAGGACAAGGTTAGTGTTTTAAAAATGCACTGTAGGCACACCTTCTAGGTGAGGTGACAAGAAAACCCTGGAGGTGTAT